TTCGTAAGGTGTGCTCGTATCGCTGGGAACTTTGTGCCCGAGACGCCGACCATGGAGAGGTCCGAGACTTTGCCGCGACGGCGGAGGTCGAAGACTGTGATGTTGTCAAAAAAGTGGTATTCTCATGCCACGGTCAGACATGTAATTTGTTTTCCACAGGGGGCCTTCTTTCCGGAGTGGATGACAAGATTGTATATGGCAAGCGAAAGTATGTTTCGCTTGTCAATTCATCCCATCCGGGTCCCTCCTTGGCCTGGCCCATACCCTTCTCATAGGCCGAACATGTATCAACAGGGTCCCTAGAGAGGAATCTTCGTGTTGGATGATAGAATATAACAAAATAAAAAACACTTACGCGTCAGTCCAACCACACCCACTTTCTTGTCCGAGGTGGACGCAGCCCCCGAGACGAAGCCGGTCGTGTACTCACCTGTGCCGACCATCAACACTGCCGGCGGCGCCATGTCGACACTCTATGCCGGGGAGAGACTTGTAGGGTGGGACCGGGCAGGAGAATGAATAGAAAATCCAGTTTTTTGAGTGTGTGTAAACCGCTTTCGAGTCAATTCGTGGTGTGAGCGGGTTCAATAGCTCTTCAGTTCCTCGTCCGCTTCTCAACATCCAAACAATCTCTTTGATTCATCCACACAACAATTGGTTCATTGAGTGATTGAGTGATTGAGTGATTTAATCAATTCATCAAGTGAAAGACGGTCCGATAAATACTGTCGCGGGGAAAAACGCACCAGAGGATCCACGACAAACAAAGCTCAACTCACCCTAAAGAACTTTCACAAGTCCACCAACCAACCAACCCACCCATGGATCTCTAGGGGTCTGGGAAATAGCAACCCGAGCCCGTCGTTAACAGTCGCCAGACGGCTAAATTCATTCCCCAGTGTCTCACCTAATTACCCATCCATGACTCTCCAACACACTTTGTACGGGTAGAGAAGATGAGGAGGAGGGGAAGAGAGGAGCGAGGGACGAGACTTGGCAATTGGGCTTTATTGGTCATTGAATTGCCGATTGCCGATTTGAACCCGTCATCGGCCTTTGAGTTTTCCCAATCCGGAATCAAGCGGCAATTGAACGCTCGGTTTTTGAGCCACATGAACATTTCGAGGACAACACATCGTATAGAATGGAGTGAAAAGAGTCGTGGGAATTGGATTAGTTGAGGTTACCGGGGGGGGAGAGGGGGGGGGGTGAAAGAGAAGAGAAAATGCGTCTTTGGGAGAGATGAAATGTCAATGTAGATGTCCCTGATGGGTTTCTCTTGGAAAATGTATTGATAGTGTCAAGAGAAGAAGGAAGACTCTTCTGTTCTGTCCTGTTACATAATAGTAATGTCCACCTTTACAAATGGAGGTCTGAAGTCTGTCGGGCTATCATGGAATTCTGCAAACTCCTCTACGGGAATAGCGACTGTCGCTGGCCCAAAGAGAGGTTAGCATCACCACCTACATACCTACCTACTGGCACGACTGTACTCTGGGTTAAAGGATCATTTCTTTCATCTTTCATTTAAACCATCAAACATACCATGAAAAGAAGGATCTCGTTTCATGGACTTGAATCATTCCCAGGTATGACAGGCAAATAGCCGCGAGATTTGCCCCAGCCCTGGCCTCACTGCCGGACCTGGTCACCCTGCCATGTACCGGTCCATATATCCGGAGTGTTGCCTCGAACGCAGATGGCGGATGTCGTATTTTCCCCAGAATCCCTCGGACCATATCCTTTGGCCCCTCCGACTCGGGTCCTCTTCATGTGCAATAACCTCTAACACCGTGTCGACGTGCTAGATTGATCTATCCTCCAACCGTCCATGGCGACGAGAACCTCCGTTAGCATTGAATGAGCAACAGTCAAGAATGGCTTGTGAGTACCGAGGGAATGGGACAGAGCATCGTGTCGGCCTCGGAACACAGAATCAATCCGAAGCCTGCTTCAGAGATGCCTTGGGGCAGCTCTAATCGATGACTGCGGATCTTGAGCCTCTTCACTGCCTCACTGTGGCTCCTCGTTCAATGGAGTGTCGCTCTGAAGGTACGAGTAGACATGGCCCCGTGGAGCTCGTGGTAGTCACCCAGTAGTATCGAGTACCTCGTATGAGTAAGATCCCCAAATCCTTCAAAGTATCCAGCGCGGCATTATGTAACTAATCCTCCAGGTCGTCAGGCTCAAAACACTGGCAAGAATATAACAGAATCGAGGCCCACAATTTCATTTGATCAGGGGGTCGACTTCCTCCAGGAACTGACGAGATTCTCCATACTTTAGGGTTGGTCAGAAAGCCATCTCGTCCGAATAGAGATCGGCCAACTCCAATAACGAAGGATGCCATCGCGCTTTCCTTTGTGCCCCTCAGAGCATCTGGATCTCGCCGTCAAGAGCTGGGATGGTGAATTGGAATCATATCATGCAATGCGACATGGGTTCCCTTCGGATGCAGATCCATTCTGAATCTTCCATGGTCAATGTCCACCTCCATAGAGCACGTCGGCCAGCATCGATCCGCCCTATCAACATGACCTTGAAGGCGAAGCCGTTGTTTTGAATTGGGGTCATGAACCCATGCCCCGCGTCGCGTTGCAGAGTGTTCGTGCGGAGCAATTGCCAAATACGGTGTCGCTTGTGGGAGCTCTGTCAAGAGACAACCCAGTGACACACGGACAGTTGGTTGTTTCTTGTCCCAAAAGCCAGGAGAGTGTTGTGGACATGCCTTCCAGTGGAAGAAAGATCTGTCATAATTGCTGTTAGACAGACTGACGTCCAAGACTGACTTGTTCACGAACAGACATGTGCTCAACCATCTCGCGACAGTCTACTCTCCCTTCTCGTCGATAGTCCTCCTTCCCAAGATATCAGATGTCGCTGACGGGGCTGTCGGACCGTCAATATCATGCCGGTGCCATCCTTCTGGAGCCCCGTCTAAGGTGACCTGGGACTGCGCCACAGGCTCAAGTAAGGCATACTTCCTGAAGCTATATCTCCAGGATCGGAGATTCCAAAATGTCACGTCGGAATCAGGGGGCCACTGTCTAGTGCTGCTAGCGGCCTCCTGAAACAATCGATGGAAAAACTGGTTGCTTCTGTAACCAAAAGTGTTTGCGGCACGTTAGTATATTTGGTGCACCAGCCTAGCACGCCTGGATAGTTACTGATCTCGGAAGTAGTAGAGCTGACAAGATCCGCGCAATGGCAGAAATCCTGACAGCGACGAGATTGGGATTTTCCTGTGTTGATTTCCATATGACATGATCCAGAAACCGTCTCTTGACGGACCCAATTACTGTCACAAACATTAAGGGAAAGTCAAAGGACCCCAATTCGATTGAAACCCCCACAGTTGATTTTCTGGCACTGGTGGCAACAGTGGCACCAGTGGCACCAAAGTTCTTGCAGGGCCCGGTCCCGAGCGAGCCGGTCCCAGAGACACTGTAAATGGCACAGACTGGCGAGAAGAGGGCAACGCAGCAGTAGTAGAGTAGGAATGCCTCGCCAACAGCTGTAAGAAAGCCATCATTCATATGAGATGGTGTTCCATCCGTTCTTAAACACCAAGCCACCATTGGGCTTCGAAGATTCCTCGGACAGTGGTCTGGTTAAACAGTGCTTCGCCGTATGATCCCCCACCCGGTGGTCGTATTCGATATCCTAGTCATCATCGATATCTGTACATAAGATTGGCCGCCACGCACGTGCGGTCACCCTAGCACTATTGAGCGCGCTGGCTATATCAGAGAGAGCCCCGTAGTCTGTGTCAGACACACATAGGCGTCACTTACGGTTTCTGAATACGGCTCACCGGCCAGGGGCCGGGCAGAGTTTGGACCATTGGGCCGTCCCTTCTCGGCACGTAATAATGGCAGCCTTTTCTCGAGGACCGTGGTGCTCGTTCTTGACCATGACCCACCGTTAGCGATTGTTACTCTCAATACTCTTATTGCAGCATCGACTCACTGCCAGTCAAATTCAGCCCCGAGGTGCCTGGGCTCTCCTATTCTTGCGCCTTGGATACCGGGCCTTGGTGCCTGGCTTGATCGGACGAACATTGTCATCCAAGGGTGATGCTGCGCAGGAATCTCGGCTTAGCTCAAAATGTGCTGAGATACAGCAAAAGCTTGAGTGATTTTCCGCCAATGTCCTGAGTCAGAATGACGTTCCGATACAAGGGATCCATTCTTATGTCAAATAATATGCTTGCACCAGTAGATTATCCATACGTGTGCAGACATACGGCTAGACGTGAAGAAAAGCTCGCTTGCGGAGTATTCGTGCCCCAAGAACAAGGTCTGAGTCTGGGTTCTCTCTCCGAAGACTTGTATTGACCTATTTCGGGAACGTTGGAATCAGGATGGCCCAATCTCGTCGATGGCTACGGACATCCTCCATAGACCCAGTGGAGTTGGCGTGTTTTAAGGATGGTTCCTTGGGTCCTTGTAGCCTTGTATTTTTGTTTATGTGGTAGGATCTTTAAACCCCGGGGATATCATAATGCATGTTGACCGAGGGGAGTCTAGATTCGTAGTCATAGCCATAACCAGGCCTAGGAGAAAGACAATGTCGGTTAATTGTTAGTCAAGTCCATCTCGCTGACTATCGCTCGATTCGCCCGTAAGATGCATACCCGGCGGGTGGCGTATAGTCGGCGTTCTGGAGGATGGAGAAGATAACGCCTCTCTATACGTGAGTAGCGGATCAAATCCCTCCGCCCAGCCAATTGTAAGTGTAGACGAAATGCTCCATGCTGACCAGGTATTGGGGCAAATGTTGCACCTTCGACCTGCCAAAATCAGGACCAGTTTGCTGTCGAATTCAGGTTTTCAAGGCTGCGATCCTCCGCTTCCAAACCGTTGTCCTCTGCGCTTTTATAAGACAATTTCATGTGTTCATGCATGTGTGCCTAAGACCCCAGTCTTAGCCTCACGCGCTGTCCCCTTCAACTGAAGAGTCCTTTTCATATCTTTGACAACAAGGAACCAGGCACGAAGATGGCAATCGGCAGACCTCGCATACCTGGCACTGAGGCGGAAAGAGCAGAGGCACGGAGGAGCAAAGTTCGCGCGTAAGTGTGACTGGGGCGCTTGTGATGTTGTGGTCAATACTTGTACTGACAGTGCACTCTGTCAAGCAATGTTCAGGCATTTAGAAGGCGCCAGAAAGAGAAGCAAATCGCAGAGCAGGCATGCCGGTTGCAGGCCAGGGAAGATAGCGTGGCCCAAAAGCACAAATCCCTTGCCTGCCATCAGCCAACTATCGACGCCAACGCCTACAGCTGTCCGAAGGCCTGCGATGCTTCTTTGTTTCCTGTAGAAGATGCTGAATTCTGGTTGTGGGCCATTCCCTCGGAAATGGGTGCAAGGCTTGTGGGTTCGATTTACCATGTCGCATTCGTCCAGGATCTCAAGAATAGGTTCGTAACACTTCGAACGCTGCGAGAGCGAGCAAACAACAGAGCTGGACAACGTCTGTCAATATGCTGTTCAACATGGGTCACAACTGTAACCCTCGAAATGGACAGGCCTGAAACCGAAGTCTTGATGGAAGCTCTCTTAGCTGCCTCTCTGGCCAAGGTTGGCAAAGATCGCAGTGAACCAGATATGGTCCTGCAGGGAGCCTATATGCAGACCCGCGCATTGCAAAGGCTGCGATGTTCGCTGAAGGGATATCAAGAGGGTGATAGAGAAATTTCGCCCACAGTATTATCTTCCACAGCCCTGATCTGTGCCATGTCGGAGCTGATAGCCAACAAGTCCTGGGACAACTTTAACTGTCATTTGCTGGGAGTGGGGGCATTGATATTCCATGGTGGCACCGAAGTAAGTGTTCACATCGTCTTCCTGAATACATACCCAGCAGCACTGACCAAACACCTTCATGAATGATAGGGTCTGACCCAGCAGTCATCCCAGGAACATTTTTACGGATATCGTGCACTGCAAACACCGTTTTTGTTCATGAGTCGGCAGCAGACGTTCCTGTCCGAGCCACAATGGATTGACTTCCCATGGAAAGAAGGGGTGGAGCTCGCTCGACAACCCCTGCACTCGATGCTCGATATTGCCCTCAAGGTCTTACCAGAGATTGTCAAGCAGGAATCGGCCAAAAGTTGGAGCCTGTCCTGCCTCAAAGCGAGATATGAAACGGCGTTCGCGATAGTGGAGGAATTGAATGGCTGGGAGCGTCAGTTGCAATCACAACAAGAGCGTTCTCTATACACCAAAGTCATGGCCAGTTGGGGAGGTGTGTTCCAGCGTCGCCTCCACTTTCCCAACTCTTCGATTGCCCTTGCATTTGCCATGTACACGGCCGTCAGAGTACACGTGGCGATGCTTGTCACCAACATCTCGGAAGAAATGGCTTCCCATGCGTCCACAACCGATATGGACAGAAGCTCAGCTGCGCTGGAGGCATTGCGGTGGGCACGGCTTGCCTGCCAAAGCCTTGAGTACTTCCACACTAGTGAGTCAAAGGTTTCTGGGCTGATAGATACCCTGTGGCCACTTGAGAGCGCCTGGGAGCTCTTTTCAAAGCTGGAGGGAGAAGGGTTCGTCGACGTCTCGCAAGAGATTGTATGGTGTCGATCTGCAGCTGAACAATACGTAAAGCTCGGGATTCCTCCTTTCAGATGGCGATAACACAAGCGAAGGATGGGAAAGGAGGATGCTGACTTGGGGAATGGTTTTGTTCCGAGCCTGTTTCCACAGCTGGTGCAAACACCCCATTCCCTTTCCTTGACCGAAACCACCCGAGGACGCAACCAAAGCTGAAACTCGATTCGAGGAAAACACCAGGTTCAGGGCAGTGCTGTCGGAGGAATTTCCTTTATGGGTGAACACATGCTGGTGATGTTGAGATGTTGGGGATATCACCATGTCGCCTCATGTTGAGCTCAGCCACGGGGATGGCGAGAAAGTGTGGCGTCGTTGGAATTCACGTGACCAAACTGACCAAATCACTTGTGGCTGGTGACCAGCCAGCCAACGGACTCCGTAGAGAAGTCTGCCAGCCACCCAACCTACTCGCTGCCTGGCATTCCTTCCAGCCATTCGAAAACCCTCCTGGTGCTCTTAATCCAGCCCATGAATCATGGTGGTACAGTACGCAAGCGCAGTCTTCCGCGAGCCAGTGGTGGCTGCATCCTCGACCAAACCTGAGACTCGACTTCCCTTCCACCGGTCTCCGCAAGAATGCTGCCAGCCTGTTTGCATCGTCCAATATCGTGGTAATGCCAGGCCAATAAATGACGGAGGTCAAGAAGAACAAGACCGAAGCCAAGGATTCTGAGGAGGAGTTGAACGTTTGAGGAGTTCTTGTCCACACACAATTTGCTGGGCAGGACTTGGTTCAGGCTTGGAATTCACGGAACACCTTTTCACTCCTACAACAGACGCAGGAGTATGACCAACGGTAGAAGAGGTGGAGGAACGCCAGACACACACTTCTTTTCTGCAGAGCTTGGGGAAGTGGAATCCCTTGATATATGCGCAATGGGGAAACTTGTTCGCTCTACGTTTAGGGAATAGTGCCTTGATGCAGGATTGGACCATACAAGCCGCAGGCTGATGCTGGTGATCCATGCTTGTATCCCACACCTCTTCAGGGGCCTCACCTAGTCTACTTGAGTAGAGGTGATGAGGATGGATGAGCTTTCATATATCCACACGGGCGCTGCTCTTGTATCTCTTGACTTTCTCTCCTGTCCGGGCGCCTCTTCAAACGCCGATCACATGTGCCACCCCTCGTTGAGTGGCCCAATTCGCAATGTTTTGTCTCTGCCCAGAATGTGCCTATCTGCACTGCCTCAATCTGGGCAACGTCAAGACCACTTCATCCACCACAATCTGCTCCAGTTCTGCATGCGCCGAGCAGTCGCAAACCATGGCATTCTCATCTGGGCAGAGTTTTCCTCTGCTCTCATTTGTAATTTGCGAAATCGCCTCCTCATCACCCGGTTGGTGCCTTACTCCTCACCCGACACCTCATAAGCCACGCTTTTGCCTATAATACAAGGCTGTGTGCGGTGCATGCGTCCCACCTGTTACCTGTCTGCTACCAACTCTACGCCAGCCGACTCCTGAGATCTGAGCAGTCCTGCTCAGCCATCAGTGTTGGCAATGGAGGAGACAAATTCGCCGCCTCCGTCACCACCAAAAATCACAGTCGATACATCGGTAAGCCATCTCAATAAATAATGGCGATTGTGTTGTGTTTCAGAATCTCTAACCTTTTCGGCTTCAGAATTTATCAGGGCAGCATCGGGCCGAATCATCAAATACTTGGGTAACGTTACCGAGTCACCACAGGGGACTGAGCATGTCCACGCCTCCCCAAAGCGCCATAGACGACAGCGCATACCTATCCCCCACTTCTCCTGAGCGCAGAGCACAGTACGATGGGTCAACTCTCAATTCTAGGTCGGGCTCTGTCGCTTCGGGCGAGACTGCGACACGATTCCGCTCAAATTCAGGTATATCTGCTGGTTCCACTACGACCTTCTACTCCAAATCTAGCCTCGAGTTTGAACCTCCCGAAGAAGCCTTGCGAGCCGACAAGGGAGATGAGAGAGACTTCGATGTCCCTAATAATCCCTTTGCCTTCTCCCCGGGTCAGCTGAACAAGCTCCTGAACCCCAAATCACTGTCTGCCTACAAAGCACTAGGAGGCTTGAGGGGCCTCGAAAGAGGTCTGCGGACCAGTATCTCAGCTGGATTGTCAGTGGACGAAACTCGCCTCGAGGGACAAGTCTCTTTCGAAGAAGCGGTTGCTGCTGGATCCAGCCATGAAGGACTGTCAGAAGTCAAGCTGGACAGATCGGATTCAAATGGCAGTGTGGGCCAGCGCGAAGTCAAGGGCCAATTTGAAGATCGCCTGCGCGTCTTTCGAGACAACCGACTCCCGGAGCGAAAGCCAGACAGCATCCTCGTGCTCATCTGGCGAGCATACAACGACAAAATCCTTATTCTCCTCACCATCGCCGCCGTGATTTCTCTAGCTTTGGGGATTTACGAAACTGTGGATGGAGGCTCGGGTGTGGACTGGGTCGAAGGAGTTGCCATCTGCGTTGCCATCCTCATCGTAGTCATTGTCGGGGCAGCCAATGATTGGCAGAAGGAACGTCAGTTCGTCAAACTGAACAAACGGGTATGTCCACTGTTCCTGTCCAACAACATCCGAACAGCTTGTTCTAACCTCGCTAAATAGAAAGACGACCGTGAAGTCAAAGTCATTCGATCAGGCAAGTCGATACAAGTTTCGGTGCACGACATCACAGCTGGAGATGTCCTTCATCTCGAACCCGGCGATGCCGTTCCAGCAGATGGGATTTTCATCTCGGGACATGGTGTCAAATGTGACGAATCGTCCGCGACTGGAGAATCGGATCAGATGAAAAAGACTCCAGGCGAGGAAGTGTGGCAACGCATTCAGGACGGAACGGCGACTAACAAACTCGATCCTTTCATCATCAGCGGCTCTAAAGTTCTCGAGGGCGTTGGCACCTACCTCGTCACCAGCGTCGGTGTGAATAGCTCCTACGGCAAGATCTTAATGAGCCTCCAGACCGACAATGAACCGACCCCTCTACAGGTAAAACTGGGTAGATTGGCCAATTGGATCGGAGGCCTTGGATCCTCTGCCGCAGGACTTCTTTTCTTCGTTCTTTTGATCAAGTTTCTTGCTCACCTTTCTGAGGATACCCGGCCCGGGGCTGAGAAGGCTCAGGCCTTCCTGGACATCCTTATTGTCGCAATCACAGTCATTGTCGTTGCCGTTCCCGAAGGGCTACCTTTGGCGGTTACGTTAGCTTTGGCCTTCGCCACTACCAGGATGCTGAAGGAGAACAATCTCGTGCGAGTTCTTCGTGCCTGTGAGACCATGGGCAATGCTACGACCATCTGTTCGGACAAGACGGGCACCTTGACGCAAAATAAGATGACTGTGGTTGCTGGGACCATCGGAACGAAGGAGAAGTTTGCCTCGTCACAATCAGTCGAGACAAATGACACGGCCTCATTCACGACCATGTTCCGCACTCTGAGTGCTGAGTTCAAGGAGCTGCTCCGACTCTCCATCACCCTCAACAGCACAGCTTTCGAAGGCGAAGAGAAGGGCGTGCCCACTTTCATTGGTTCCAAGACCGAGGTTGCGTTGCTCACTCTGGCAAAGGAGCATCTGGGTCTTGACAATTTGGCTGCTGAACGATCGAGCTACAAGGTCAAGCAGCTGATCCCCTTCGACTCGGCACGCAAGTGCATGGGGATAGTCATCAAATACAACGGCGTCTACCGGCTTCTCGTCAAGGGAGCTGCAGAGATCATGCTTGCCAAATCCGTCAAGGCCGTTTCCGATGTCTACGAGAAGCAATACGCAGTTACGGAATTGACTGCCGAGCAAAAGGAACAGATAGCCAGCATTATCGATGAATACGCACGGCACTCACTCCGCACCATTGGCATGCTGTACAAGGACTTTCCTCAATGGCCGCCTGCCGGCGCGAAAACCCTGGAAGAAGACGCCAAGATGGCCGACTTTGACGATATCTTCGATGACATGACTTGGATTGGCGTCGTCGGTATCCACGATCCTCTGCGGGAGGGTGTGGTTGAAGCCGTGGCACAGTGCCAACATTCAGGTGTCGTGGTCCGCATGGTCACTGGCGACAATGTAACCACTGCACGTGCAATCGCGACTGAATGCGGTATCCTCCGTGAGGACGAAGACGGAGTCGTCATGGAGGGTCCCAAGTTCCGCCAGCTCTCTGATGAAGAGATGGACAGGATCCTGCCACGCCTTCGTGTCCTGGCTCGCTCATCCCCCGAGGACAAGCGCATACTTGTCAGTCGACTTAAGCATTTGGGCGAGACAGTCGCAGTAACTGGAGATGGTACCAACGACGGGCCTGCCCTGAAAATGGCCGACGTCGGCTTTAGCATGGGTATCGCGGGCACAGAAGTTGCCAAAGAGGCCTCGTCCATCATTCTACTCGACGACAACTTCTCGTCGACAATCACTGCTCTCATGTGGGGTCGGGCCGTCAACGACGCGGTAAAGAAGTTCCTGCAGTTTCAGATCACGGTCAATATCACTGCAGTGATACTCACTTTCGTGTCGGCTGTCTCTAGCGAATCGAACCACTCGGTACTCACGGCCGTTCAACTTCTCTGGGTCAACCTCATCATGGACACTCTTGCTGCTCTAGCGCTCGCGACCGATCCACCTACCAAGAAGATATTGGATCGTCCACCGCAGCCCAAGTCGGAGGCTCTTATTACGATCAATATGTGGAAGATGGTCATCGGCCAAGCAATTTATCAGCTGATTGTCACCTTTACTTTGTACTTTGCGGGCATGTCGATTTTGAGCTATGGGCCCGAACGGCGGAAAGAACTGGACACGATCGTCTTCAACGCCTTTGTGTGGATGCAGGTCTTCAACGAATTGAACAACCGCCGCTTGGACAACAAGTTCAACATCTTTGAGAATATCCATCGCAACTACTGGTTTATCGGCATCAACTGTATCATGGTGGGAGGCCAGATTATGATTATCTTCGTCGGTGGAACTGCTTTCAGCATTACTTCGCTCGACGGTCCTCAGTGGGCAATTTCACTACTGGTTGCTTTACCTTGTCTGCTCT